CCAGGCACCAGAACAGCAGGTGTGTGTGTTACAGGGTGAGGGAGAGAGGTCTCAGGCCCTCCACAGCCCAGTCCTCTAATCCCCCTTAAAAACACTCCCTAGGGCAGAGAAACCATCTGTTTCAACAAAGCCCAGAGCCCTACAAGCATATTAACTCCTTCACTGCTGACTTCCTATAGATGGGCTTCCCTTATCATTAAGTGTTCATTTTTAAAATGCCTTTAAATGTTAGAACATAAGCTCTTTAAAAGGGAAGAGACTTGCCTTCTCTTCTCTGGTATATCCTTAATACTCGGAATAAATCAACATCTGGGGATACTAAATAAATTATTGTTTCATTTATGCCTATTTTACAAAAGTCTTGTCATTTGTTCTCACTTAGAGCCTGACCTGGTTTCCTCAAATACACTCCACCAACCAATATTCTGTGTGCTTGTGTACAAGAAAACTAGTCTCCTCACTGTGCAGTTTATTGCTAGATCCCAGTGTCCAGCACAGCACACACAGTGGGTGCTCATACCTATTTGTCAAATGAAGGAATGAATGATTCGCCTTTGGTCACCATGCCTTGTAAGCATTCAGCAATGAGCACTTAAACCTGGCTAGGTTTGGACTAAGTACCATGAGAGTTCACAGAACTAGAATATCTACAGAATGGTCCTCTCAAAAAGCATACAATTTTGACAGGAAGACAAAACTACCGTGTAGGAAAGTGATACATCAGTGTGAACAATGATAATCTGAGAAGTCCACAGGGAGAAGAAAGGCCTGAAGTGAGGATGGAAGGGATGGATAGGTTTCAGTGAAGTATAAAGAACAAGGGTGTCCCGGGTAAAGAGAACTGCCGAAGACACAGCAACAGGAAAGAGTAAATGGGGCATTTCGAGGTACTAGGAGGAGATGAGTCTGTCTGCTGCTGGGAAGTGTGTTCTAGGATATTACATGAGATGAGCCTGGAAGAGTTGAAGGGGGTCAGAACACAACAGTCTGTCATGGGGCATCTGGCTGGCTTGGTCGGAGGGGTGTGCGATTCTTGATCCTGGGGTCATGGGCTCGAACTCCATGTTGGGTGTAGAGATTACTTAGACTTTTTAAAAATAATTTAAAAAATAATTTTAAATTACTTTTTAAATAGGGTCTGTCCTACTTTTGGTAACAGAAAGCACAGGAAACAAAATATGAGGTGGTGGTAGTGATTCAGGCATAAGGTAATGAGTGACTGGACCAGAGTCATGGCAAACGGAGTGGGGAGGAAAAGGCAAATTTAAGAGAAATTCTGAAGAAACAAAAGGACTTGATGACAGACTAAAAATGGGGGTTGATGAAGGGAGAGAAGCCAGAGATGTCTCCAGGGTTTCTGATCTCGGACACTGGAAGAATGTGAACACAACTGTCAAAAATGGGGAATCAAGGAGAAAAGCCAAGCCTAGGCTTGGTTTTGAAAACACTGAGCTAGAGGAGATATCCAAGTATAGATGTCCTGCAGGCAGCTGAAAAATAGACCAAAAAATTGAGGGTTTTTTATACATACAATGGAATATTATTCAGCCTTTAAGAAAGGAAATCCTGTCATGTGCTACAATATAGGTGAACCTGAGGACATTAGTTAGACTAAGTGAAATAAGTTAGACATAAAAGGGCTGAGACTGCATGATTCCACTTATATGAAGTATTTAAAGCAATTAAACTCATGGAAGCAGAAAGTAAAGTGGTGGTTACCGGTGGGGGGAGTTGCTGTTCAACCAGTATAGAGTTTCAGTCACGCAAGATGAAAAAGTTCTAGAGATCTGCTGTACAACAAATGTGCACACAGCTAACAATACTGTGCTGTATATGTAAAATTTGCTAAGAGGGTAGATTTGGTACTTTATGTTTTTGTATCACAATAAAAAATAGTAACACCTGAAAACACTGGGAAATTTTTAAGTAGCAGAAGACAGATGGGGGAGTTTGCAATTTCAAAGTAAAGCAGACGTCAAAAGAACTGGCTAGAAGAAAAAAGAGGTCAGGAGCAGCATAATAATGCCAGCTATGTCTGTATCGTGTGTTTATGTGTCAGCACTGTTTTGGGAGTTTTACATAAGCCACTCCATTTAATCCTCATCATTTCATGTGGGACATATTATTATCCCCATTTTACAGATGAGAAAATGAAAGCGCAGAGAAAGTGAGTAACCTGCCCCAAGTCACGCAGCTGGTAAATGTAGAAACTTGGATTTTAACCCAAACTAGCCTAGATCCAAAGCCCATGTTCCTCCAACTTCACCACATTGCCTCATCCCTTAGGAAACTGCCAGAGGTACAGTGTTAGAAAAAAGAAAAGACCCAGCAAAAGCACACAAACAGCAGTCTGGGTAAAGGAAAACAAAGAAATGCCCTCATTGAAAATAACAGAAGAGAACATTTTAAATAGGCAGCAAAGGGGATCCCTGGGTGGCTCAGCAGTTTGGCGCCTGCCTTTGGCCCGGGGCGTAATCCTGGAGTTCTGGGATGGAGTCCCGCGTCGGGCTCCCGGCGGCGTGGAGCCTGCTTCTCCCTCTGCCTCTGTCTCTGCCTCTTTCTCTCTCTCTCTGTGTCTATCATAAATAAATAAATAAATAAATCTTAAAAAATAAATCAAAAAAAAAAATAGGCAGCGAAGTCATCAACAGTGTCAAATACCAACACTCCTCCCAACACAGAAGGAAGTCCACACTTCAAGTCGATCTCTGTAAAGATGGGCCAGATAGTACAGCACAGAGAATTTCAAAGAACCAGAAGCCCAACCTAGAACTAAATGGGCTTCTTCTCTCCCTCTTCTCACTGGCAGGCACCTGGGGCTGCTGGTCTCCAGGATACTCCATGAGCCTCATCGTGAAGTGCAGCGCCTGACATCGTGAAGTGCAGCGCCCAGGAAATACCGACCCAAACACAGACTGTTGTGCAACAGGTTCAACTTGAGCTGTGGGAGAAGTGGATCTCCACTCAAACTATAGTTCAATATCTGATGTTTGCTTCTAAAACCAAACTTGCTTTTAGAAGAATTTCATGTGCCTGCTCTCTTCTCTCATCCTAGACAAACTAAAATCAGGTACGCACAGCTACAGCCCTACTTTCCTATAAATGACCTGTCACACTGATGCCATTGTTATACTTCTCTCAAAAAGCTCTGGATTGTTTATATCATTTCTCTGCCTTGAAAATATCTAGAGCCTTCTTCTGCCTATGTTATTCTTTAGCCCTTTATGAACACAGGCTCAACATTCCATTCCAGCCTCATCTCTCACCCTAAACAACTGCCCATTCTCCCCAGCTTTCTAATTTATAACACTTCTCATTCTTCCCCAAAGGAAACAGAAACATCCATGAGTCTATTCCTCTGCACATCTGTTGTCTTTCCAGAATACTACTTCTCCCTTCTGAACTGACAAACTGCTAAACTATTACCTTGCTAATCTCGAGGTTCAGCTCAAATGTCAATTCCACTGTCAAGTCTTCCCCATCACCCACTGTGCTGCCCCTAGTAATCACTTCACCTCTGCTCTCACAACACTTTGTTCATATCTCTACAGGTAGCACCTGACAGGCAGATAGGTAACTATATCCCCACTAGACTATGCATAGGACTGGCAAGCCCTCAGTGGCTTGTACAGGGTCTGGCATACCGAAGGTTCTCAATGAAAGGAAGGAAGTGGGGGAGACCCCTGGCTGGTTCAGTCAGTGAAGCAGGCAACTCTTCATCTTGGGGTTGTGAGTTCAAGCCCCACACGGGGTGTAGAGACTACTTAAATAAAATCTTTAGAGAAGGAAGGAAGGAAGGAAGGAAGGAAGGAAGGAAGGAAGGAAGGAAGGAGGAGGAGGGAGGAGGAGGAGGGAGGGAGGGAGGGAGGGAGGGAGGGAGGGAGGGAGGGAGGGAGGAGGGAGGGAGGGAGGGGAGGGGAGGGGAGGGGAGGGGAGGGGAGGGGAGGGGAGGGGAAAGATGGGGACTCCTAGAGAAAGAGACAGGAAGCATGGCACATTATCAGGGAGCAAACTAGTTAGTTGATAACAAATTATAAAAAGTGATCTTCCAAATCAAAGGATTTCAAGATATATCAAACCAAGAAGTCTAAAAGGTTCCTACCACTCCACAATGAGCAAAATATGCTGTTTAGCAACTGGTATTCATTCAGAGAGACCATCCTCACAGTTGTTGTAATGTAAAATATATATGATTAGGGCTACCAGCCTGGTGTTTCTCCAGAAAAATAGCCAAAAGAAACTGTGGCAGAATGGTATAGACAAGAGTCGTAACCTATCTTTTTTTCTTTTTCTTTTTTTAAGATTTTATTTATTTATTCATGAGAAACAGAGCTAGAGAGGCAGAGACACAGGCAGAGACAGAAGCAGGCTCCATGCAGGGAGGCTGACATGGGACTCGATCCGGAGTACCCAGGATCATGCCCTAGGCTGAAGGCGGTACTAAACCCCTGAGCCACCCAGGCTGCCCAGTCATAACCTTTCAATACTGATATCTACTCTAAAAAAAACTCCACAAAACCAAGGATGGGAGAAAAATAATAATTTATACTTTGTTAGCATATAGGGTCACTGAGACAGAGGCATAGTGTAACGCTCATCTCCTGTTGTAACAAAAAACACAGAACTACCCCACACGTTTGAAAAGTCCAGAATACTAATCATAATGCCACCGAACCCCATATTCTCCATGCATTTAAAACCAGGGGCAATAGGGACGCCTGGGTGGCTCAGTGGTTGAGCATCTGCTTTGGCTCAGGGCATGACCCGGGAGTCCTGGGATCCAGTCAGCAGGCTCCCCGCAGGGAACCTGCTTCTCCCTCTGCCTATGTCTCTGCCTCTCTCTGTGTCTCTCATGAATAAATAAATAAAATATTAATTAATTAATTAATTAATTACTTTTAAAAACCAGTGGCAATAGAAGGCAAACCCAATGTGAACTTGTATTGATAACCCTCTCCAGGCCAGTGACATGCAGTAAGCCTTAAAAAAATACAATTAAGGTGCTCACTTGGGCAGCACATATACTAAAATCAGAACAACACAGAGAAAATTAGCATGAGCTCTGCACAAGGATGACTCGCAAATTCGTGAAGCAGCGATCATATTTTTGATGGTAGCTGTACTTGTGGTAAACACAGCATAATGTGTAAATCTGTCAAATCACTAAACTGTACACCTGAGACTAATGTAACATTATGTGTCAACTATATTCACATAAAAATAAAAATTATTTTTAAAGCTAAATATAGGATCCCTGGATGGCTCAGTGGTTTAGAGCCTGCCTTCAGCCCAGGGCATGATTCTGGAGACCCGGGATCGAGTCCCAGGTCAGGCTCCCTGCATGGAGCCTGCTTCTCCCTCTGCCTGTGTCTCTGCCTCTCTCTCTCTCTCTCTCTGTGTGTGTGTGTGTCTATCATGAATAAATAAATAAAATCTTTAAAAAAAAAAAAAAAGCTAAATACAGGGGCATCTGCCTGGCAGTCAGTGGAGCACACAACTCTTCATCTCCGGGTTGTGAGTCTGAACCCCAAACCGGATATACAGATTACTTAAAAGTATTAAAATATTTTTTTAAAAAAGCTAAATACACATGCAGTACACACACACAATTAAGGAAGGGATATACTTTAACAGTACAAAAACTGCCATGCATCTAAAAACTACAGGATTTATCAAAGGTTTAAATAGGTGCCTAGTGCTGTAAAAGATGTTGACAGGCCTCACCCCAGAAACATGCAGATTCCCAGATCCCTTGGCTACAGAGAATCACCCCATTGTGATAGGTTTGCTTAAGGGCCTTGGGAATGGGAGGAGCAGACAATTCTCACTGTGAAGGATGCAATCCTGTGGGTGACTCAAGCCATTTTCCACTATCCAGGCTGCTGTAGAGACAGGCAATTTTATTGACCTCCCCCCCACCTGCACACAAAGTCGCACACATGTGCCTTCCTTCTCTCAGTCCTCAAGCTAATTTCCAAACACCCCAGTGTATCATCAGCTAGAAAACCCACAATGTCGGCTCCAGGATGTCAACTCCAAGTCAGCAACAAAACTGTACTCTCATCAAGTCTATAATTCTACCCTAAGGCTGTCAGTCCCAAGTAACAGAAGCCAATCTGCACTTCACTGCAATATGTTGATTTTAAACACAGCACTGGGGTGCCTGGGTGGCTTAGACAGCTAAGCATCTGCCTCCTATGATGGAATCCCAAGTCCCAAGTCCCTGCTTAGCAGGGAGCCTGCTTCTCCCACTCCTGCTCCCTCTGTTTGTGTGCCTTCTCTCACTGTCAAATAAATAAATAAAAATAAACACAGGATCAGCTCCATTTCTTCCAGAGGCAGTCACCTACCACAAGCAAGGAGAATGACATAGTAGTTTGTCAACCAATTTTATCAGGCTAAGCTGGCCTGATGTACTAGCTAAACTCTAGCTCAGTAACAGCAAGAAAAAAGAGAATCTCAACCTCAGACCAATCTGGGGTTCCAGTGCAGAATCTCTATACAGCAATGATTAGGTCATTCATGGTACTGCAGTTTGCTGATCAACACTGATGGATCTCTTAGTACAAGTGGAAAAGGTACTAGGGTTGGGAGATCAGTGAAGCCATTTAAATGCCTGGAGTTGCTAGAAGTAAAGTTTCAGAATAAAACAATGCAGTGATGAAATTATGACATGTGCGAGCTGCTAAGTGAAAGAGACACTTGGCACCTGTCCCATGGTGCAATTAACTGCATGGTAAAATATCTGAAACAGCTGGTCACTAACCCTGAAGACACAGCTATCCTCAGAGGTTAAAGGGCCCAGAGCTATCAGAGGGGTATTCAAAGGGTTACAGGTAACTTCAGCAGCTTTTAAAAGTGCAATAAAGTTAAAATTCAACACCCAGAGCTTTAAATTATATATTTTAAGACCAGTAATTCCACTTCTAGAGCTCTATCCTAAAAAGATAATCAGAAACACACAGAAAACTTTATCTATGAGGATAATTATTATCATATCCTAGCAGAAAAAAATTAAAATTGTTGATCAGCAAACTGCAGAAATGTACATGCCCCACAACTGGGAAATGTTAAGTAAATGATCCTTCCATTTGAGGAAATCCCATATAGCTGTTAAGAAATGTTGTAGGAAAAAAAAAAAAAGAAGAAGAAATGTTGTAGACAGGAGCACCTGGGTGGCTCAGTTGGTTGAGTGTCTGCCTTCAGCTCAGGACATGATCTTGGTCCCGCACTGGGCTCCCTACTTCTCCCTCTCCCCCCCAACTTGTGCTCTCTCTCTCTCTCTCTCTCTCAAATAAATGAAGAAAATCTTTAAAAAAAGAAGAAGAAATGTTGTAGACAAATGGATAAAGGCATCAAAAATGCTCACAAAATAATAAACAGCAGGACAGAGAACTACATAATAATTAACAAATATATGAAAGCACAAAGTTATATATATAAAGGTATAAAAAGATTAAATGGAAACAATAAGATATGAACACAGTAATCTGTGAATTGTAGGCTTTTCGTGATTTGGGGGTTTTATTTTTCTATGCTTTCTGCAAGGCTAAAATTATGCATCTATTTAATGGCAGAGGGAAAAAAATCTAAGTTTTTTTTCTAAGATTCTTTATTAGCCGCATTGAAGAGGGAAAAAATCCCCCCCCCCCAAAAGGCCAATCTCTGAAGGGTAAGTGTCGGGGTGTAAGGACTTCTCCTGCTTGCCCAGACATGGCAATAAAGGACAGTCTTCCAGGCTGGCCAACTAAGTGGATGTCCAAAGTAAAGCTATAAGAAAGATAACAAGAAAGGTGACTTAAAAACACCTCAGCATTAAGAACCCAAACTGGCTGTGCACCTTGTCAGTCATCACTTTGTTCACTTGTTCAATATTGCCATTGCCCAAAACTTACCAGGAACTCCTCATGTGGAACTGCCTGCAGACTAGTAATACCATCTTCCCAATGTTTTCTTTTTTTTTTTTTTTAATTTTTTTTTAATTTTTTTTTTATTTATTTATGATAGTCACAGAGAGAGAGAGAGAGAGAGAGAGAGAGAGAGGCAGAGACATAGGCAGAGGGAGAAGCAGGCTCCATGCACCAGGAGCCCGATGTGGGATTCGATCCCGGGTCTCCAGGATCGCGCCCTGGGCCAAAGGCAGGCGCCAAACCGCTGCGCCACCCAGGGATCCCAAGAATATATTGTTGTTGTTTTTTTATTTTTATTTATTTATGATAGTCAGAGAGAGAGAGAGAGAGAGAGAGAGAGAGAGAGAGAGAGAGGCAGAGACATAGGCAGAGGGAGAGGGAGAGGGAGAGGGAGAGGGAGAAGCAGGCTCCATGCACCGGAAGCCCGACGTGGGATTCGATCCCGGGTCTCCAGGATCGCGCCCTGGGCCAAAGGCAGGCGCTAAACCGCTGCGCCACCCAGGGATCCCTTTCCCAATGTTTTCAAGAGCAGTCCATTTTTATTCTTTGAGATTGGATTCAATGTTTCAAAACAGTCTTAATATCATTTTCTGACCAAAAATTAAGTAGGACAATAAAATGACTATAGTTTCCCATGGAAGTCATTAAGTCTGTTGATGAAAAGAAAAACCACAAGGGTTTTATGAATATGCAACAGGTACCAATGTCAGGGTGGCTTTTTTAGAACCCCCTATGGTGACTACTGAAGGACATTTGGACATATACATGAGTTTAGTTCAATTCTTCAAATGTTTTTTATGCTTAACATGTGCTGGGCGGTTACAGATGCAAGAAGGGAGTCATAGTTCCCACCTCTAGCAACTGTTACACTTCCCTTTAACTCTGTGCCAGATGTGACTTGTACTATTGCATTTAATCCTCACAACATTTTGTGAGATAAATTGTATCATCATCCCCACTTACAGGTGAGCATATTGAGGCTTACAGAAGTTACAGCAAACTTGCCCAAGAAATAAAGACTAGGAGGAAAAACAAATGTTTAATAATTAACACATAACTATAACATATTTAAAAATATAACTAGTTAATATCTATAAATATAAGCACGCTCTTAAATAAGTACATTGAAAGTGCTATGGCAACACAGACGAAGAAAAGAGAGAATTCTATCTCAAAATGCAAAGGAAGAAAAAGAAAGAGAGAGGCAGCAAGGAAAGAAAAGGAAACTATGGGAGAAAGCAAGGTTGGGCTGAGCACTGAAAGGTGAGTGGAAGTTTGGTTTATAAAGAGAAGGACAGGACGCCTGAGGGGTGGTTAAACCTCCGTTTCTTGGGAACCCTGGGTGGCGCAGCAGTTTAGCGCCTGCCTTTGGCCCAGGGCGCGATCCTGGGGACCCGGGATCGAATCCCACATCGGGCTCCCGGTGCATGGAGCCTGCTTCTCCCTCTGCCTGTGTCTCTGCCTCTCTCTCTCTGTGTGTGACTATCATAAATAAATACAAAAATTTAAAAAAAAATAAAAAAAAAATAAAGTAATGCTTAAAAAACAAAAACAAAAACAAAAACCTCCGTTTCTTGGTTTCAGCTATGGTCATGATCCTGGGGTCCTGGGATCGAGTTCCCATCGGATTCAGCACTCAGCATGGGGTCTGCTTGTCCCTCTCTCTGTTCCTCCTGTTCTCTAACAAAAAAAACAATAAATAAAATCCAGAGAGAGAGTGACAGAGTGAAGGACAATGGTATTTCAGGCAAAGGCACCAGGACAGTATATACAAAGGAAGAGAAAGATGAAAGTGTGTGGGTATACTGGTTGTTTTTTTTTAAGGTTTTTAAAATTTATTTATTCATAGAGATACACAGAATGAGAGAGAGAGACAGAGAGAGAGAGTCAGAGACACAGGCAGAGGGAGAAGTGGGCTCCATGCAGGGAGCCTGATGTGGGACTCGATCCCGGGTCTCCAGGATCACGCCCCGGGCTACAGGTGGCACTAAACCGCTGCTCCACTGGGGCTGCCTGGTATACTGGTTTTTAAAAATCAGTCATTATCTCACAGACTTAACAAAATTTTTTTTAGCAAAGACTAGAGAACCACTTTCTCATCATTCAACTTCAACTACCTCTCTGCCTCCCTAATTAATCCCCAATTACCAATCCACAGCACAGGCCTGGACTCTGCCAAAGAGCAGGACTTGAGCCA